GCATTTAGCCTGTTTAGACTAGCCATTACAGTTCAGTTCTTAGAATTGAAAAGATTCACTTAACAGCATTGTTTTTATTTTTACATAACAACACGGGTACCGGACCAATGAGGATCCAGGATTGAAAGAAAATAAGTAAAATTGTAATGCTTTGTACTTCAACTAATCAACTGTTAAGCTAATTTAATTGTCAATGAGTCGTGCAATTAGTGTTTGGTACAATGATTTGTTACATCACTGTCAGTGGCAATGAGAGGTTATAAACGAAAACATAACATCTCTTAGAAGTTATGAGTAGTGATTGTTAGTAATTAAAACACTGTCGTAGGTAAAGTAGTGTACGCAACTCGCGTAAATAGTCTTAACGACACATGTAGAAGTTTTTAAGGCTCTCCCTTAAATTTCTACTTGTGTCGTTAACACTATCTTTACGCGATCGGTAGGCAAATTATCATCATATTATTGTATCGTTTGATTCATGGTTTTGTTGTAAATAAATGTAGTAAATATAAGTACGATATCTGTAATAGAAATTTATTAAACTTATCGAACCCCTCCTACTCAAACTGTACTAACATTCAAGAGTTTATTGCAAAGATAGATAAGGCCAGAAGGAATATTTGCTCCTTGAAGCACAAAGTCAGATGCTGTAATTAAACTGTGCTTTAAATTAAAAGTTCTCTTGAGGTAAGTCTGTGTGTTTTAAAGTAAACAGTTAATTAAAGAAGTTAATTAAATATTCATCCTTACATAGGTCCATTATACTATATTTGCCAACTATTTAAAAAATAATATCATTGTTAAACAACATAATTTTTACGTAGGTAATTATGTGATTTTATGCAGGCAAAATTTAAAAGGCGAAAAACAAATAACTTAGATCTAATTAGATTGAGTTTTCTACTACTGAGATAAAATTGATAAATAAATATATATTCTTAACTACCAATGTTAAAAATTTTGCATCAATATTCTTAGAATAACAGCAATAAAATAGTACTTTGGTAAATCAATCGGTAAAGTAAAAATGGCATGAATTATTTTAAGGTAACTGAATTGTTGTTTTAAGTTATTTACTTTCACTTCACATTTAAAACACTTTTAAAACTTTATTAGTTTTGTTTAATTGTTAATTGTATCTTTAAATTTCTAGAAAATTATTTTTTTTTTAATTCCTTGTATGCTAAGATTTTAAAAAATCAGTAAAAAGTTTAAAAATAAATCTATGTGTCTATAACTTGCTATAGTCAAATAATGCTCTGTTAAAGTATTACCGTGGAGTGACAATTTTAAGAAGCGTAATACGAATCGTAACATTTTTAAATTGATAAAGCATTATATATCTGTATTATTCAAAGTTATGTTCGGGCGATGGTGAGATTTATCAGAGCCAAAGCCCATTATGTTGATGAGGAATGGTCGGGACACTGAATGAAATATCGGACCCAGGACCCAGCACTGCTGGGTTTGTCTTGTGTCCTTTATACGTAATGAATAGACAGACGTGTTCTGTCAGCTGTGTATTGAATGTGCAGGGCTAATTAAGACATTATAAGATTTTGATTTGCTTCATTTTAAAACTATTTTATTTTTTAGTTAATTTAGCTAGTTATTTGAAAGTACAGATTTTTATGATGTTGGTACAGTGGAACCTCGATAACAAGTCACTCTTGTCACATTTGAAAATCTTCGTGAATGTATTTGGCCCCTAATCACACGTTATTGCAAACCTCAATAAGAAGTCAACCTTGATAACAAGTCTTTTTGATCATTCTTTTTATCGAGGTTCTACTGTATCTAGATAGTTCAAATGTAATTAGTAGAGGATTTAAATGATCAGAAATACTTAATACAGTAGTTGAATGGACACACAATTTAAATTTTGATATAATAAGTGTACTATTAGGTGGGCTACATTGATATTATATCGAATATTGTAGTGATCTTAATGCTATAATTGGGTATTTTAGCTTTAAAAATATATTTTTCATGCCTAGCTCTTTGGAATAGGAAACAAAAATTTGTTAAAGTATTGAAATTTAAACGTAAGCTGTTATAATTAGACTAATGAGAGTGAGGTTACACTTTAAGTACATGTTTATGGACCTGGATGAATTAAATAACCTATGATTGACATCTATTAACAATATTTATTAAGCATTGATTACACACCTTTGATATAAGAAAGAAATACCCCCGCTGCAGCAAAACTGCCGACTAAGCGAAGTTTGATTTGTCTGAATTAATTTTTAATTAAATCTATTTAAAAAACATTAGGTTTAATGAGTACCTAGGTATGCTGCTACACAAGCACTGAGGTGAATAAAAATAGTAAATTCTTATTAGTATTTTCTAACTAGTTTTAGCTAATTCTCAAAACGAGGTGAATAAGAATTTGCTAAGACTAGTTAGAATATACTTGGATCATTTGGCAATTCCTAGTATATTCTAACATGTTAGAACAAACTAGACCTAGAAAATACTAAGATGACGCAAACTTTCAAGTGTAAGATGAGGGGAACAAAAGAAACGATAAACAAAAATGAAACAGAAGAAACCAAAGATCTCTCACTTACGGAACTTCAACGTTTGGTACTGCTACAGCAGATCAAACTGATAAAAATTCAAATTAAATAGGAAACGTTACAGTTTGAACTTGGAACTACTTAAACATCCTGAGAACTCTATTGGAAATGACATGATTATGGGCGACTACATTGATGGCACTGGCGGCTTCTTTGGAAATAAATACATTGTTTTATAAACATTGTTAAAGTCTCCCAACTCCCATTTTCCACCCCATATCCAAGATTATGATCAATAAATAAATAAATATTAAAAAAAACAAAAAAAACTTAAATTTTTGTTTATAGAATCAAGCACTGTATGGGGGTCTTTACAAGTGCACATGGTTCTACTCCAGTAAATGTACTGATAAATATACTGCTTGCACTTTTCTACATCTAACTCACACCTGACAGAGTACGTTTTTCTGTTCCGTACATTTATAAACATAGCCATGATGACTGATAACCCTTTTTTGGCCACCGTCACCAGAATGCTAGCCTGCCTACCCCTAGCTTAAAAATCTTTAAGAATATACTAGCCCTGGCTAGTAAAAACTAACGTTTATTCACCTACAAAGGTTAGAATATTCTAGTCATTAGATGATCTTAGAATTTACTAGGGGTAGTATATTCTGACTACTTTTATTCACCTAAAACTTAGAATATACTTGAAATCAGCTTAGTTTAAGCAAATACTAGTTTTTATTCACACCACCCCAAAAAGGGTATTTTTTAGTAAAATATTAATAGCTTACTACTCTACTCTTACTCCCATGTCCACTCAAATCCAAGAAGATTTTTAGCCTCGATTTTTTTTAATTCCCTATAGGAAAATTCGCTAATATTTATTTTCATTAGTCATTTTTCATATATACTTATTAAAATAAATAAATACATAAAACTCATATTGGTTGACGAAATAAGTTATTTGGAATTTTGTGTCACAATTAATTGTTATTTAAACATATAAATGTAGGATAGGACGGTATGCTTTTACTTTATTATTTGTTAGCAATTTAAATTTTAGCAAAAATAATCACAATAACATTGTAAAATAAAAAATGGTGGTTAAAAACGTGTATAAATTTGAAATGTAAATCTAACAAAATATATCCGCGCCTCGTTCTGTCCCTGTTCAGAAATATTTCATATTATGTCAACTTTATCTGCAGTTGTATTTTTATAGATTTACATAAAGTATAATTAATCTTTGAAATGAATACATTACTTATGTTATTTAATTACACCTTAAACACGATAAAAAATCATCACAATATAATTAAAAAATAATATTAAGCACCAAATAAAAATATGTATAGAGTAGAAATGGTAATTCAACAAATTATATCTGCATCTTATTTTTGGTCAGTCCAGAAATATTTTAATATTTATTTCAACTTTTTCGGTATGGGAAAACAATTTCTCTTCGTGCTTAAAGATTTTATATTTAACACAAGTAACCAAACATCCTATTATAAAAAATATATTTTTTGTTAAAAAGCAGTAGTCTATAGTACCGATTATTTATTCCAATAAGCATAGTTTTGAAGTAATAAAGGTGTTGAGAGTTTTGATATTAGTTGTCCATGCTTATTGCCAGGCAAATGATCCACTTCCAAAGTTTTTATGAAGAAAGTTTTATAGTTTGCTTTCGTCAATCCTAGAACTCAACTATAGTTTGTGGTTGAATATTTGATGAGTTGTTTGTGAGATATTATTTGGTGTTTTATGATCAATATTTCATAGGAAGGTCAAGGTTGCTTTAGGAAAAAATGTGATTAATATGTGTACTAGGACAAACTGTTTAAATTAATATTTGCATATCTTTGAGAATATTTACATTAAGTTACTAATAATGGTGGGGTTCTTTGATTAATATACTACAGCTACAAAATGATTGTACAATTAAACCTTTTACACCATGACAACAAGTATAAATTAGCGTTTGCATTTATTTGCGTAAATTTCTCTAAATCCGTTCTATAATTTTGATAGTTCTTTATGACACTGAGTAGTAAGCTAATAAGGTCTTTGAGGCTTGTAACTTTAAGCAGGTTGATTTTGTGTTGAAGCTGAAATTCTGATCTCCTGTGCGACAGATCTGAAATAAAATTACTGAAGTTATTTGGATATCTTGCTTTCCCCATCCACATGTGCTTATCCTGTTCGTGGATTTGATCAAACAAAACAGGTGGTGTTAGGTACTTTTCATGCAAATAAATATTTGTGGTATCACTGCTACGTATTCATAGTCTGAGCTACCAACTCACCAACACAAATACCCAATACTTTTCCACCAAAACTTTTACTATGTTTCTGTGTCAGATAATACTAGTGTGACCACTCCACAACGATCAGGGAATCAACATTGATTACAAACTATTTCAACCAATCATTGATTACAGCTTCTCACTGTTATATTTCCTGTTGCAGAGAGTACCCGTGTGATCATTACACAGCCATCATCAACGTGACTCTGATGAACACAGGGTGTCCCAGAACCCAAGTACATGAAACTGCGCTACAGCTGCTGCAGGTGTTGGACAAACGGTTCTTCGGCGCCGTGGGACCGTTACCTGCCGAAGGCGACACTGGTGAGTCCACTTTGCGTCTGAGATCCTAACTATTCTACTAACTATAATGTGTTAAAGTGAAATAAATGGTGTGAAATGCGCGTGTTTTGATTACAAATGACCTGTTTTGGTTGGTTTTGGTTTTACGGTATATGAGCGTTTTGAAAGTATTGGAGGGATGATGGTTTTATACTTTAAGTTGTAGGCCTACATGAAGGTTAGTTTTGAACTCAAAGTGTCTGGCTTATCGGTCCTTTTTTCGGACATTGATGTAATCTGTTATTTTATTTTTGGTTTGTCAGCTGCTACCATTGAGCTGCAGTATACCTCAATGGCAAAGACAGTATTGATTATTGATTTTATTGACAGTATTGATCAAACAAAGATGGTACAAGTTAGCCACCACCTAGTTCATGAGTGTTTGGTCTTGGTTAACCAGTTCAACTTCAACTACTAAACTACCGTATTCATAAAGGTTTGGCATATCAGCCCAAGTCACTACCAGTAAGATATCTTGTTCATGAGTGTTTATATTATCAGCCAAAGATACTACTACTGATCCATCGTGTTTATGAATGAATTATTATCAGCCCAACAGTCAGTCACTCTATTTGTTTAACTATTTAACCTTTTCTCATCAAAATAATTTCAAGACTAAATTGTTGTACCTACAATTTCAATGCCACATATAACTGAACTGAATCTTAATACAACTGTGCACTAGATTAAGTACAGATAGTCAAAATCATATCAAGACTAAATTGTTGTACCCACACATAAATTTGCACTAATGTCTCTAATACTGTCAATGCCACATTTAATTGGACTGAATCTTAATACAACTCTGCACTAGATTAAGTACAGATAGTCAAAATCATATCAAGACTTGTTGTACCCACACATAAATTGCACATATAAAGTCTCTAATATTGACAATGCTACATATAACTCAATTGAACCTCAATACAACTCTGCCTCTTATACTAGATAGATTAAGTACAGTACCAGTGTTCTATTCAAACACATTATTGCTTACAAGCATACACGCCGGGCCATTAATGATAAAAGCTTGAGGTCTCTGTAGGTTTCACTATTAGTCATGTATTGTTGGTTGGGTAGAAGGGCTAAATGGCCACTAGCATGCCCTTGATTGGTGGTTAATGTACCTACAAGTTTGATTAATTAATACAATCTTACACGTACAATATTTGGGCTAATTTTTAAAGCTATTACAAATTCTAATCCAATCCAAAGAAGCCAAATGTTTTTTAAAGCTTTGAATGTAGGGATGGAAATCATAGTAAAATGTTACTCAATTGAAGAATGAAAACATCCATTATACTTTTCAATAATATTCAAAGAGGGTGAAGTATTTTTTAATTTTTGAGTTAAATCAAGAAAACATCGTAAAATATTTACTCGATCGAAAAATAATCGCAGAAACATCACAAAATATAATACAATATACTAATGGTGTCAAAAATGTGCACCTTTGGTCATAACAAAATAACTCTTTGTAATAAAAAAATATTTCTTATAGCTCAGAATGTTACATACATGTATATTACTAAAAAAATTTTTTAACTGACCCAATATATTTGAAAAATCATTTTCTAAGTTCAGATGTTAGTAAATCCCTTCTAAATCAGGATCAAACTTGAATGTCTAACGATATTGTGGAATTATTACGTATCAATTTTCAAAAAAGGGGTTCAATCCAAAATGTCACATCACCCTGTGCTAACTTATTCTTTTACATCGTCTAAAAAAGCGACCCCTTTCAACAGATTATTTGTTCTCTTTTCACTGTAAAACTGCAAGTACAGTACTAACTACAATGATAGCCTCTTGGCGCTTAAGTAAAGATAAAAACAATATAGGTCAAGTATAGAATTGGAGAAGGGCAACTCCTCAGTACTTAAAGTGAAGCATTAAGTCTTAAAGTACTCAAAGTATTAATCTTTTATTTTAGTCTGTTGAAAGTCAAAAAATATTAAAGCTAAGCTTTAATAAAGTAAAGTAAATAAGAAATAATTAAAGAGAAAAATTGACTCAAGAATAATTATTTCTGAACTGTGAAAGCGTCTATCTAATTGTAATTGTGTTTAAAAGTTGGCATTATTTGCATAGCTCTTCCCAACCAGTATTCCGGAGTTATTAAAACTCTTTGCTATGCTACAAATAAGTTTAGTGGAATCTACAGGCTTTAATAAGTATAAAATTGTACTAATACAGTAACAATTATGTACTTTGGTTTTCATATTTTGTTAGTGCATTTTTTATGAGTTAACTCTTATTTACCAAGTTCTTGCAGTTAGTTATTGTTTATGTTCCTAATTTTCTTAGCATAAAAACATTCAGAAATGTTCTCAATATTCTTAACACTTTACAAATTAGATTAAAATAACATATATGTATCCACTTTATGGGCTTTTAGGTAAGTTAAAAATTTTATCGATGGATATCTTTTTAATTGGAATAAGAACTCTTGAAACAAAATAAACTAGGTTGTGATGTATTAATAATATACTTTAACACTTTTTGTCGAAAATAATATATTATACAAAAGTAATAAATACTATTACAAACAACATAATACAATGAAATATACTTATATAGTAATAAGTATTTCTAGGCCAATAAAAACATGTAGCTATTTTATACAAACGGTTGAATTACTAAACAGTTAAGAAGTGTGTAAAAATTAGTTATTTAATAACAAAATATTACATTGTTAGCAGGTCACAACATAGTTGAAAATTATGAATATACATTCTATACATTCTTATTGATGGCAACATTTTAAGCATGGGCTGTAAAATTGTTTTTGGCTCCAATTTAATTCAGAAATGTGTTAACTTGTAAAAAAAATAACTCAGTTAAGAGAAGGGTTTTAAACTTGCTATTTCAGGTTACTCTAGGGAACTTTGGCGAGTGGAATTAAAAAGTTACGGCTTGGCAATAAAGTTGACAATTCAGTAAAGAGAGAAAACAATTATCGTTCAAAACTAAATCACTGTGTTAACTTGGACTTTGTTTTAAATCCAATTCATAATATATTTTGTGTGTGGAATAGTATTTGATTATGCATTGTTTATTCTCTCAATTAACATTTAAAATCCAGCTATAATCGTTTATTAACTATTTCAATAAAATATCAGTTTGTTTATTTGAAATGAAGTTTGCTTGGAGCAATATTTTAATATTATATTTACCGTTCATTATGGTATGAATTTCAGAAAAAAGCAATCTATTACCTTAGGTAGGATTGATAATTAATTTTACTTGTTTTTACTTATTAAACAATTAATATATCAACTGTAGGCTAATTAGCTCACAGTTCTCATGCATGTTAATTCCCTACAGTGTCATCAGTTTTTTCAACAGAAAAATATAAATTTATTCCTTCTAGTGGGAGACAATCTAATTCAACTGACAACTCTAACTTGGACTGATAAATTTACGTTTTCGTATAGTGACATATGATGAAGTTACAAAAGAATACTAAAGTAAAATATCTCATTAAATGTCTTCTCATAAAAAAATGTTGGATTAGTAGATTCTCCTTATGTCGTATAATGGATTCTAATTATTTTTCAAACACAAATAATACGTCACAGTTTTGTAGGCCGTACAGCTCACATTGTCTGGTTAAAAAGCTGATTGATAATAAACTTGAATGAAGGTATACACTTTATTACTTAATAGTGGATTACTAAAACTGAGGTTAAGTACCAATGGTGATGGGGAGGATAATATTTTTGGTCAATAGTATTGAACCATTAAATTTCTAAGGAACTAGAACAATTGAAACATTCGGGATGATTAAATTCATAACTTTCCTAAACCAATTCTAAAACCGCAAATATAACTTAATGATTTTATTCCAAACGTAACCTATTTTGTGGAAAGAGTAGAGTTCCATTCTAGTTCCTTCCCTTAATTGACTAAACCTAATAAGACAGTCAGGGCGGGTCGTCATTTCCATTGTTCCAAATCCATTGTTTTACTTTGTGTAAACTTATAATGCAATAAAACATAAATGGATTGAATCTCAGAGGGAATTAAAACTTGTTTACTACTTCTTGAGTATTTTTGGTTTGATAATTGTATTTCTCAAACTAATGATAAATTGGTTGGGGCTGTAAAAAGACCAAATGTGGTTAGCAATGTTTTTGACTCTCTTGTAACTGCTTGTATCAGTGTCATGTTTTAGTAAGAATGCTAGGAAAATAATAAATTATTTTTAATATAATGTAGAATCTTTAAAAAGTGAAAATATATACAAAGATTGTTACAAAACTCTATAAATTAACAAAGTATTTTACTAACCATGTGTTGGTAAACCCTATCTTATTATTATTGAAACATACTGTAAGTAAATGAAATTTTGACCTTACTATTCATTACATCCACAAAATTTTACATTTGGGATTTTATACTACAAGCTGAAATCAAACAGTTACACAAATAAAACAAAACAAAATTGAAATGATTGTCAAAGTGTCTCCAAATGTCCATATTATTAACATATTAAAAATGTGACTGCCATTCTGTCATTTACTAAATTTAATAAAATATGACACTCTCCTCCTTCATAAAATATTGGATTGGCAGATTCATTTACACAAATTGTTGGTGTACATTTACCTTATTTCGTCCAGTCTAGGGAAATAAGTTACTAAAAATGTTTTATTTACGTTAGAACTAAACGTTTTGTATAACCCAATTAAAAGAGTTTAAGATATGGTAGTATTAAAAACTATATTTCAGTTTTAATGACTCATTCATTTATTGTAAAAAACATTTGTAATCGTTCATTTATTAATAATTAAAAATTCAATGAATTCTAGTTATTTTATTTCAATAATAAAAAAAAAATTATACAGTAATCGATATATTAGAATGTTGATTTGTCATGGTTTCTATTTTTTTTTGTTTTCTACCATTCTAATATTCGTAAAGTAGTAAAGATAATTGAGTCTAAAGAAGATATTTATTGACTATGACCTGAATTAGAAGAGAATTTACTAACATTAAAAATTTTTAGTTAAAATACATTCATAAGCATTTAAAGTTAACACTCATTTAATCTAAAACTTAATGTAATTAAAATAATTCAATCTAGAAAAGCAATGAATGATTTCCTAACCTTTTCAATGTAAGCAATCAGAGGAGTGATCTGATGCCTTCAAGCATAAAATTCCCACATTGACTTTATTATAACATTATTTTATATTGTAACAATTTATTCCTTTAAATTTTCTCTACCTACTTTACTTTCTAAAATTATATGTTTAAACCTCAGTATCTTAAACAAAATATGCATAAAGACAAGTTTAACTCTATAACCCAACTCTTAAAAAATCCTTTAAATACGCACTTTGGATTACATTTCTATGTATTTAGCAAAGTGGACAAAAATATGTAGAAGTTCAATACATTTGACACAAAATGTAGTTGAGTGTATTCCATTTTTATCTATTAAAACTGTTTTTAAATTTTCGATTTTAATTTGGTCCTTGTTTTAATTGCTCCAAAAGCAAATTTAATAATTATTATCATGAAGGACATTTTGTTAATCTAGATGATTTATCATGCCTTGGATTATTCCACCTAATTAAGTCCTGAAAGGATTAAATTAAAAAGTAAATGGAGTAACATTTAACTTACATGACAAGTTGAGGATTATAGAGTTTATAAGGTGGCGAGTGAGGATTTCGTAAGACATATATTATCTTTGAAAAAGCAATGTTAGGTGTATATTCAGTTCTACAATGAGTAAGTCGTAACTCTACCAAAAAACATTTTAAAGTAGATGTGAACTTTACTTTACTTGTGCTACAGTAGGTTCTATTAATTACCTACCTATTAATATCGCTTCTCGGCCTGTTGGCTAAGATCAAAGTGTAGCACGTTCATTACCATAAAAAAGTTTAAAATTGAGGTCAATATTAGTTTTTTTTTCAACGATCCAAGATTTTTTTGAACCATCTCATCATAGGTACTAAGGTACCCTATATTGTTTTATAATGATCAGCATAGTTTTCTCAAATCTAAATATATTTTAATACTACAATCAACTTATATAATTCTATGACTTTTATAATATTTCTGTACTTAATTATTTTACAAACAAAACTTACTAATAATTTCTTAAGTAATTGTTAAGTCTAGTTTGCCCTCGACAAACTTATAGAATTATCCCATAATAAGATATCGACCTGCAAACTTCTCCAAAAGTTTTATTAGAAGTGATTGAAAGTTGGCGAAGAGGTTTGGAGATGAATTTTGAATATGAAACTCAATTATTGTTAAAATATTAAACCACGTTCTGCATTTACCTTACGATATTGTTGATACACTGAAGGAAAATGTATTTGGGTTGTTTGTAAGTGATGTATACCTACATCCTTTTGTTGAATGTTTTGTTTAAGATATCAATTTAATCTTTCACTGACCCTGTTTAAGAACAACCATTAGCTTACAACATTATTGTTATATATTTATGCAAAAGAACTTAAAACAGTAAACGACAGAATACTGTGCAGTATGCACATAACCTAAATCATCAACAAATCTTTAGATTAACGGTTGTTGGTTTTTGTTACTTATTAAATGTGAACTGAAATAATGTATTCAGTTCTATTTATTGTGATTAATTAAATGCTAGTTTAAAACTTTTTATAGATTGTACCATTCGGTTGTTGTGGACAGTTTTGAAATTTTAGAAAAAATTACTCCTTGAAATTATAGAAAAATTTATTCTTGAAATTTGTTTAAAATCTCATTGAAACTTTAGCAGAAATTAAAAGTACACAAATATTATGATAATTGAAAGTGATATAAAAGGTTACAGTCACAAAAATGTTTTTATCTAATAAATAAGGAAAAATATATAATAAATGGGAAAATACGTGTAAGCGAATTGCCACCCATAAATACATGCAATCCAGCATATCTCGTTGCAAGGTGCATAAACAGTTTAATTTATTTCAAACTCATGACCTATCTCACTGGGTCGTACATGTTGTACATGTTTTATGTTGTGTTAATGCAACACCGGAGATAGCAGTATGTTTATAGGACTCACCTTATCTCACATATGTTTGTCTCACTCACAACATAAAACATGTGTAGAGGTAAAACATAATGGTTATTCTCTATAAAAAAATACATTTATTGTTGTCTTCCTTCGTTTATTACTGTGAGTAGATAGTACTGATAGTGAATAGTAGGCTAACTCAAGGTAATTAAATTTTCATGCTTCATGGATTTTTGTGTTTTATAGTCTTAAATAACCCAACTCACCTGTTTTTAAAAACAATAAAATCCTCTTGAGTTATTGTTAATTAAATAAATACCTCGTAAAAAGCGTAAGTACGTGTAACAATTTTTTAATTACTTTTGTTATAATATACTTAAAAGATTTTAAAGCGTATTATTGACGACATTTTCTTTCATTAAGTAGTTTCCATTAGCTTTTTACAAAACAGGCTACAGATATTTTAAGAAAATTCAACTTTGATATGGAAAGGTTTTGGTCAATCCAGCTGTAAGAGCTTGTAAATAAAGTATATTAAAAGAGGAAATAAATCATGTTAAAATTATCATGCCTACTCCAGCGTAAACTTAACACTTGTCAAAGACTAATAGATTAGTCGTTTTAAAGGAAGAATGTTGCTAATTTTGTGATCCATTTTTAACTTTTGAACTTAAATATTAAAGGTTTAATATAATTACTAACTTTTCCACTCACACATTATTAAATATCATGGGAAGTTCTTTGATGTTCACTCATGAGGAAAGATATAGAGTTATTTAAAACATGTGACAAGATTTAATTTAATTAGACAATTTGTTTCAAGGAATGAATTGAAAGAAACTATTTCTTTTTTGGAATGTGGAAGGACATAAAGGAATATAACACATGCTATATGTACACAAATTTTATTAAACATTTAAAAATATAAGTGTGATACACATTTATATTTTATTTACAAATGTAGAACAAATTAAATTCATAGTTCCTTGAATATTACTATTGAGTTAGTTTTCATTTCAAAAACTTTCTATCTGGCCAGCAAAATATAAGAAATATAAGCAATATTCAAGTCATCGTTAACCACAAATTTCACAACTTAAAATCATCCTTAATTGTAATTTGGGCATTCAAAATTCAATTAACTAAAACTATAGATTTTTATTTTTGGATGAGTACAAATAACATATCAAAATAGTTTTGCTGACAATACTTTAGGAAATCCAATTAAAACACGAGGCCAAACATTACGTTCATACGATTTCTTGTCGAAAACTATGAAAGGTTTATCTTACAAAACAATATTTGAGTTTCCTACCCTTCACATAACAATTATCTACACATACAATCCATAATGAATCACATCCACATTAAAGAACAATACACTTCAATATTAAAATTGTAAAAAAGTAATCTCTATCTTTCAATTTACCATCGTGACGTATACGTTCCCCATTTATTCACATAAACTATATACACATTAGCGTTAGTCATTGACATTAATTTCTACCACAGCCAAACTTCGTTATGTTTTGTGTTGTGTCATGTTTACTTCGTGATCGGCAACAACTCGTGGTTGTCCCTCCAGGAACCGTTGTTCAATGTAACAGTTCTGCGGCGATACAGGGACCCGGCGGAACGGGTATATTCTGACACCACTAAAACAAAGATTAAATATTAGATGAGCCACAGCTGTTGGAACCGTTGTTTAATGTAACAGTTCTGCGTTGATACCGGGACCCTACGGAACGGGTATACTCTGACACCACTACAACATAAAGATTAAATATTAGATACGCTTCAACTGTAATGAAACAACAGTTACAGGGACCCGACGGAACGAGTATATTCTGACACCACTAAAACATAGATTAAATATTAGATGTGCTCCAGCTGTAGGAGCAGTTCTTTAAAGTAACAGTTCTGCGGCGTTACAGCAACCTGACGGAATATATTCTGACACCACTAAAACATAATTATTAAATATTAGATGTGCTCCAGCTGTAATAACAGTTGTTTGAAGTAACAGTTGCAGGGACCCTACGGAACGAGTATATTCTGACACCACTAAAACAAAGATTAAATATTAGATGTGCTCCAGCTGTAGGAACCAGTTCTGCGACTAAGGAATGAGTATATTCTAAAACCACTAAAGCATTGTTAAATATTACACATACAGTTACAACTTCAAACAATCATGTTAGAATGGTTGTTTGCGTTATTTATAAGATTATTGTGGGCATTTTACACAAGGCTCCACTAGAAATACATCACCATTATTATAAAACAATGAATCCATTTCCATGGTTGTTGAAAATCTTTCTTAATAATCTCTTAAATAACAGAAACTCACTCTCACCTAACATTAACTAAAACAACGAAGGTTGTTTGTTCTTGAGATTCCACAACTTCACAGTTAGTTGTCTTCCACATTCTTTATGAGTTAGTTGGTAAAACTAAGTATCATACTATTGTTAACGAGTAAATTAGATAATACTCATAACAAGTGTTATGCAGAAGCTACAAACTAATGAACTAAACAGATAATATTTAAAAACCTACATTATTAAAATAAAAGATTATATCAACAAACTACAATTTAATTAATAAAAAGTTATAGGCCTTCCTCCCTAGCCCTGTGTTTATGAATATCATAGTCAAAATTCCTTAACCTCCTGTCAATAAAAAACAATTAAATATTCTAGTGTTAATGTATATTGCCAGTATTGCTCTAACTATTGAAAAAACACTCCTTACTTTTCTTCAAAAATAAATATCACATTTTATTGCACTCTCTACTATTATACTGGATGTAAATTTTTTCTGCAGCTATTTGTGTTGTACTACTGAAACTATTTACAAAATATTTACTACAACTTACCTTTAACTTGACCAAACAAATACATATTATTAGTAAAGTAAAATAAAAAGCAAATAAATCTTGCTATACAAATGAATAAGAAAATAATATTTGAACAGTTTGGCCCTGATTTATTATTTAACTGTTAACCCCATTGTCTTGAATGCCTTTGCAATAAAGAGTAATTGGAAGGTCGTCAACGCCGAGGCAGTTTGTTAAAGGCTCGCCTCCTGATTTATGACTACACTGGCTTTTTCGGCTTTGTTTCGACGGTTGAAAATTGTTTTCGCCCGGTCTAGGATCTTTAACTGCCCCCTAAAATCTTGAGGGAAGTCTTTTGTGGAAACTTAAGCTTAAAAAGTCAATAGTGGTGAATATTTACTTTCGTATTATTACGTGTCCGAACATATTTATATTATACCATTTTGTCTAATCTTCGTCATGAGGTATTTACGATTTTTATTGGATTAAAATAATTTTCCTCCTCCATGTAAAGTTTCGTAAGCTGTTTTTGTACGTGATACTTGACTTTTTAGTCTAAAGAGTCACTTTACAAAATATGAACTATACATTTCGTAACCGGTGTGGAGGCAAAGGAAAATGTTGTATGAGTTAAAAGGAATGAGTTAAAAGGAATCTGAGAAAAATAAGATTACTTTTCATAATAGCATGGGTTGGGTAATAACCCCAAAATTTAATTAAATTAATCTTTTTTTTAATGTTATGTAATTTTCTTATTACACATTTCAAGTGTTGGTTTGCAAAATACTTTTGTGGTTTATGTGAAATACTTGAACATGGTTGACCAACTAACTGTCAATACGATATTTTAAAAGTGATAAAGTTGAATTCTTAAAGTGTATTATGTAGTTGCGGATGTTTTCGATCCCTGTTAGTTATATACGTTGTTAGTTATGTACGTTAAATGACCCAAAACACGAGAAGAAACCTGACAGAGAAGAAATTTATTTGTTCAATTTCCTAAAGTTACAAACTATTTCCAATTTTAAATTTTATCATCAATGAACAAACAGAGAATTATCTGAACACTATTTTTGATTCAACACAGAAATATTTGTGCAAGGTGACCTGCCGAGTGTGTCAATTTTATCGAGCTAAAAGACACTCTGATCATGAGTTGCACATTATATTTTGTATATATATATTTTTTTACTTGACAACTAAAAAATAATCATGTAGAGGCCAAAGTAAGATTTTTAACTTTGCTCTTTACTTTTCCTCACTGCAAATTACAACCGAACAAAACAAAATTCCTAGGAAAGTGTCATGTAAAGTAACCTTTTGTGAAATAAATGGTTTTGCAAACTAATACTACTAAGCAGAAAGTTGCCACTTTCCATGACAACAGTAGATAAACATATTTGTTACATGGCCATATATTGTAAACATAAATACCTACTTATGTTCATAAAACATAGTCTACATTCATACTTAATTGATTTACTCATAATACAACAATCAAACAAATGAAATATTCAATCAAACTAAATAACTAACATTAAGGATTTATCATGCATACAACATAGCATGCAGGTACAGTAAAAAACAACAACGTATTTTTTTCCTTAACAGTATATAGAAAAACACACACAGTATATAGCACATAAATAAATATATACGAGCCATTCAGCAGAGCGTTGAAAGTAATCTCTAGATCGGGGCATTATAAGCCAAATGGTGCGTTTAATAAAACAAGCCAGTAAAGTATATATTGAACACTGCCAGTTGGTTTTTATAGTTATCGCCTACGGCTTAACATCACTTAATGCTTTTTTATTACCCTGAATGTTTTGGGATTTTAGAAATTTTTGTCATTGCGTTTTAGACCTCTTTGAACTAACTTATGCTTCTAATATCTAATGCATGAAGCGTTGTATTCTATTTCTAGCGTATATCAGCCAGACTGTTCTGTTGCTAAAAGTTGGGTTTGGTTGGAAGGTTACCTTTATTTTCCAAAATATACCATCACTCGCACCACTATGTGGACCAATAGTAGGGTCCCTGTAAGTCGACCTAAAACATGTTAGGTATATTTCAGAAATGTTTTATTTAACACAAATTTTAGTATTTCAATCCAAAGCCAAGATAATTTTTTTAATAAGGATTTGAAATAAACCTCTATATTTGTTATTTTTATAATTATTCTAATATTAACTAAATAATAGTAATGACGAGGGACAGATGTTTTAAAATACAATGTTTAGTGGGACGTTAAAAGTTATTAAAACTAAGGTAAGTTTTTCAGGGATGGGGATTCGTGTAGACTGTTGAATCAAAAGATTTCCTTTAGGCCTAATATAAAATTCAATAAATTGAAAATTTAATGATAATTTGAAAACAATAATTAAGTGAAATTTTGATTTTGATTAAATTTTCTTTCCTTTGGTTGACTTTTGAAATCGAGGTAGGTCTGTTCAAAATGGATGCTGAAGGAGTCCATAGTTTATAGTTTTAGTTTAATAATGAAATGGAAAGTTCTCACCAATCTTCTATAAGTAATTTGTCTTCAGGATTATGTAATTTTTATTTCTTCAATTTGGTTCAATATTATATAAGTAACACTTTTTATAATATAATTAATTTCACAGTTTAGTTTAGCACAACTATAATTACTGTTGATTTTTTTTCTTGGAAATATTTACCACACTGTTCATTGTTGTGAATAATCTCTTCATTTTTATGGGGTTTACATACTTAAAAAAATGTGTTGAATTTTTTTTATAATATTGAATTCAGATGCATTTAATTTTAATTGCAGAAATTGTTTTGGAATAATAATTTTGATAAGCCAATGAATAAATTTTGATTATAAATTATATATATGTTGAGACAATACTTAGGTTTTGGGAATCTTGGCAAATACATTTTTACATTATTTTCATAAGATGAACATGAATAAATATTAAAGTATGAACCAAATTCAGTTTGTAATTTAATTAATTACTATACCTCAAAACAAATGGTTTTTGAGTCATTACAGATTTTATAACAATTATGTCTTGTTAGATAATACGTCATAAATACTATAACAGTTTTCTGTTGCTTGTATTTTAATAACGTTTGGATTTGTATAGTTTTAGCAAAACTTAAATAAAACTGTTTTGTAAGTAATCATTATATATTTTTTATATGATTCATTGGGGCTCTGCACAAAAATTGAATAAACTACTACAGTAACTTATTTTTTACATCTAAATTATCAAAGTTATTTTCTTATATGCTTGTGTATTCCTAAAAACTACACCACCATTATAATTTTTATTTTCAACATATTTTAATTTTGTTTTCACATAGTATTTTAATTTAATATTTACTGTTATAGATACTGAGGTTGACACCTATTTAAAATTGCATTAAATATATTTTCTGAAAATAACCAGTACACCGATAAATTCGGGTTAAACTCAATTATTTGTTACAAAAAATGGTTCCCTATGGTTCGCTTTTTTGTAAAATAAAAATATTAGCTTACAAAATAAACTAATTTAATATGAGAGTAGAAATGTAGAGAAGCGTAGGCAGATATTGCTAGGACAATATTCCAAGCCGTCCCGGGCTTACATATTCCCTTTGGACCAACATTGGACTTGTTCAACTTCACTTGTCTCTCCTCCTCTTTTAACGTCTCTATTTTTTCTGCATCGTAAAAGAATTACAAGTTTAACGTATTTTGAAATTGAAGAAAATATGTACTTATTGAAGTATATTTATTGGTATAATTCATTTTACAATTATTTTAGTAATCATTATTTATTTACCAAACTATGAGTTTGTGAC